GTAATGGGCAAACTAAAACTTTGATATGGCCGTAGGAGCCAAAACTTTTCTCTTTCCTTTACAGGACAAATTTTCAAAATAGTCCTCTTTAGACTTTTAATCCCAAAAAAAGACTCATTTTCAACTTATTTTCAGAAACCGACCTAGTTTCAGCCTCAGCGCTGAGGCTGAAACTAAGTTGTTTTCTGGAAAAAAAATTCCGAAACTTCACGAGAGTTGTAACTCCCGTGAAGTTTAGTAAAGACCGTGAAGTTTAGTAATCTTTACTAAACTTCACGGGAGTTGAACTCCCGTGAAGTTTCATAGTTCAAATTTTTTTTCAAAACTATGGAACTTCACGGGAGTTGAACTCCTAAAGTTTCGAATTTTTTTTTCCAGAAACCGACCTGGTTTCAGTCGGTTTCTGAAATTGTTGGAAATGTGTCTTTTTTTGCGATTACTATTGTAAACCGGATTGTTTTGAAAATTCCTCCTTCCTTTACATCTACCATCTTTCCCCTTTTTGGCGCCCTTTCTGCTCTTCGTCTTTGTGTATTTGAGTCTTCTGTTTAGTTAATTGAACCTGTAGTTTTGGCACATACAAAGGCGCATATCATGGATATAAATATGGTGTGAATCAAATGAACTGGCTAAATTAATCGATTGGGCAGATAGCTTTGATGCTCAAGATAAATATTGTGCCAGCTGGAGAAAAATATCCCAATAATTAATTCAATCTTGTTAAAGACTTGACATGCACTCATTAGTTTACCGATTTGTGAACAAGCAAATTATTTCTCTATCTAGATTGTAACATAAAATTTTAATTAATTTGAGTCCGTCATTTATTTAGCATTTATTCTTTTGGTTTGCTTTCAAATATCGACAAGTTCAGCTAGAACATCTGACACATCTGCTAGCAACATCTTCTTCGGCACATAATTAGATACGGAGTATGAAAGGACAGCAACAGTTGATATTATTTCTCAAACTATTGATTTGCTTAATTGTTACTACCATGAAAATATCCCACATGTATCACATGTGAAGTGATTTCCACAGCCAGCGTAAACTTATTCTTGCTTCTCTTTATGTTTCGCCTACAGGTGATGGATTTGATAGAGGACACCGGCCTCGAAGCCGTAGCATCCTCCTGCAAGCACCTTCAAGAACTCCGCGTCTTCCCTTCTGATCCATACGGCGCTGCCCAGCCTGTCGCCCTCACCGAGCGCGGCCTTGTCGCTGTCTGCACCTCCTGCCCTCATCTCCATTCTGTCCTCTACTTCTGCCGCCAGATGACCAACTCTGCCCTCGAAACCATCGCCAACCACCGCCCAAATCTCATCCGCTTCCGCCTCTGCATCATCGACCCCTGCACCCCTGACTACCTCACCTTCCAACCCTTCGACGCTGGTTTTACCGCCATCGTCGAG